TTTACAGTGTCCTGTCTGGCAATGTGGCAATAAGAATAATTGTCTTGATGCCAAAAAGAGCCCAACAGATTTTACTTTCACAAGTGGAGCGGTATGGCAATTGCCATATTGCTCCACTTGTTTCATGCATATAAATTGTTTTATTAAAATTATGCAGGGAATTTTACAGTTTATATGGACACTGCAATGTAAGAAGAACAGAAAAACAGAAGGAGAAAAAGGAAGAAAAAAAAGAAAAAAAAGGAGAAAAGATGAAAGAAAGAGGAGATAGAAAGAAGACAATGACAAAACATTTTCAGTCTGCTTTCATCACCTGTAACGAGATGAAAAAAGAACAGCACAACCAAAAAACATGGTACGAGATATACAATAAAGCAACACCTTGAAACTATCGCTAAAGTAATATTATTAAGTCTGACAAATTGTACAACAATTAAATGTCCCATTAAATCATTAAGAAATAATTTTACAAATACATATAAAATAATACATGGTATTTAAAAAAAAAAATTCTATGTTTATATTATAAAATAAATGGAAGTGGTTATCTGTATTTTTAGGGAGTTGTCAGGCTGTAGCTGTGGTTTTTCTGGGATGACAGGATGAAGTGTGTTGGAACCTCTGATTGAAAACTTTGACTGATGTTTTCATGAAGACCATTAAAACGAGGATTAAATCAGCGAAATGTGACGCAGAGAAGAAGCCATTTCTCTGCTTTATCACATATACTTCTACCTGCTATTCCTATCAGTGCAGAAACCTTTCATATCGACATTTGCATCAAAACCAGAAGTTAATACTTATTTATTATTGACCTGTCTAAAATTTAAAATAACAAATGACTTAGGTAAAATGTAAATAAATTGTTTTGATGAAAAAGTTGTAGCTATGACCTTTAAAGTGTTAGATTGAGTTTTATTTCTCCTTTTTCTTATGGAGGTTTCCCTGTCCTTTTTTTTTTTTTTTTTAAATCTCTCCTGCAGCTGCTCAGGCTGATGTCAGCAATATGTCCGCAGAGAAGTTTCGCATTTTCAGAGCAGAGAAAACCTACTGCGTTAACTCTGGGAAGTGGTACTTTGAACTAGAGGTAAGACACAATGACACAAAGGTTATGTTGGTGAAGAATGTCAGTCATCCAGGTCATTGTGATTCCAAAAATCAATCCACTGGACTTTGTTTCCATCTTTAAAGACGTTTCTCTTCCATCCAGGAAGCTTTTTCAATTCAAAAAGTCAGAAATAGCGTTGAGTTCCAGGTTTTATATAGCAGCCCAACAAAGCCTTGATTTGGTTTAGAAAACATGCAAATAGAAACGGATGAACGGGTCCACCCCTTTTAGACTGGGGGTCGTTTGGTTTCTTTGTTAGCCTGCAATGCCCAATACCTGTCTACACTGCAAAAATGATCTAGAAATAAGTGAAAATGTCTTAAATTAAGTGAATTTACTCTTAATTTAAAGCAGGAAAATAAGATTGTTTGCCAATATAATGAGTATTTTTACTCTTAGAATAAGTTAATTAGATAATATGCACTTGAAATAAGACAATGCAATTCTTTTTTCTTATTTTAAGTGGAAATTGTCTCGTTTCATTGGCAAAATGTCTCACTTACCCCCTCGATTCAAGAAAAAATTTACTTATTTTAAGAAAAAATGACTTAATTAGATTTACATTTTTTTGCAGTGTATGTCTAAAGCAACAGGAAGTTGCTTTATGTTTAAATTATTTTCAATAATATTTTCAGTTACATCAAGTTGACACCAACTTCACTGAACCAAAACTGTGTGTAGTATTGTGAAACTTAATTTAATTATCTAAAAACTGGAAAAAAAATTGCTCTGAAATTGTATTTTATAGCATTAAAAAATCAGTTTGACATTTGACATCATTTAGTTTTTTAGCTCTTGAATTCAGTTTCAACCTAGAAATTCAGATTTTTGTCTTTCCTCACATTCGGGGTCGTTGAGAAAGACCAAAGCAATCGAACACAGATTGATGTTTTGCATATGGTTTAGCTGTGCTGCATTTAGACCAGAAAAGTGGAGCCTTCAGGAGAGCCTAATCCTCACAATCCTGACTTTGAGTGCTTCCATTGCAAAGGTGTCAAAAGTATTCATGTTTATTACTCCAGTATAAATCCTGCTGTTTAAAAACACTTTTGTAGAAGTTAAAGAATCAACTTCATTTTTTTACTCCAGTAAAAGCGTAAAAGTACCATTTAAAAACTACTTAAAGAATAAAGTAAAAGTAATGCAGGAAAAATTGTTAAGGCCAGAAGCTTTACTGCTCTACCCTATCAAAGGAACATTTTTCTACAATTCTGGATGATAACTTCCTTAGACTTCATTTTCAATTTATTACTAATGGTGTCACATTTAACTTTGCATCATCTTGATAAAATACTTTATTTTGATATGTGGTGAGCAACAGGTTGGGGCAGCACCGAGTCCAACCACACAGAAATTCATTGTTTGGATTAGGCTAGTCTATTTTTAAAATGTAAAGAGTACAAGGAAAAAGTTGTTGAAAAAATAATTCCTCCAGCAAAGTATAGATATCCAACATTTCTACTTTATCAAGGAAAATTGTACTTTGATACTCGACACCTCTGTTCAATTACACGTTCCTGCTGACGGTTCCAGTGCGTAGTCTGTCCCAATCCTCCGGAACTGTCTTTGGCCCCGCCCCCACCTTTGATCTACTTTGGTGAAGTAAATTTCCCACAATCCATTGCTGCATGTGTTCAGTAAAATGAGCAAAAATGTGGTGCTGATCAAACTCCCCTAAAATCATGATTTATTTTGATAAGTTTCCCAGAAAATCATCCCCAAACCATAAACAGATGGTTTCTATTCTTTAAATAGATATTCAATCAATAATTCCTCTCCACAAGCTTCTATTTAATTGATGATCAATAAACCAGGGGATCATTTTCATTAAAGATTAGTAAGGGAATAGTTTCTGCTGAAGATTTATTTGACATTTTTAGATTACTTAACCAATATTAATAAACAGAACCTTAGATAAAATAAAATATTCAAAACCAAACTTCAGCGCTTAAAATCCCTCTGTTTAAATTTATTCTATTTTCCCAACCTGCCAGAAAGAAATGGAAATATTTACAACAAATATTTGATAATAAAACTGTGGTTTAATAAAGAGTCTTTAAGTGAAAGCTTTTCTATTCAATTATTATAAATTGGGATCTTGTATGAAAAATACCTCATTTAACAACCGTGACCCTCCATTATACTCACCTTAAGTTTATTAAATGGCTCATCTCTCCAACAGTTACCAACAAAAACCCGTTTAAACCATATATAGGTTGGTTATACATTTTAAAGAATAGTGGTGAATTTCCTGTTTAAATAATGGTTTAAAAAACGAATTAAATAAAAGAGAAATCTCCAATCGCGCTTTCTTTTTCTGTTATTTTTATCTTGTACATTTCAGGTATTAACAGCTGGAGAGATGAGGGTGGGCTGGGCGAGGCCAGGCTGTCTGCCAGACCAGGAGCTGGGATCTGATGACCAGGCCTTTGTCTTTGATGGCTTTAAGGTAACAGATGGATGGATGGATGGATGGATGGATGGATGGATGGATGGATGGATGGATGGATGGATGGATGGATGGATGGATGGATGGATGGATGGATGGATGGATGGATGGATGGATGGATGGATGGATGGATGGATGGATGGACAGACGTTAGCCCTGGCTGTCGTTAGTCTCGGAGGTCTGCTGGTTGCCGCGGTTCGCTCAACTTCGAAAAAAGTTTTTTCGAAATTTTTTTAATTGCGCATTAAATCCATAGATGGACCATATAGTGAAGCTTTAAAGTACAATATTTTCGCCTCAAATGACTTTAAAACGTACTTTTATCGAACAACAGCAACAGAAAAGAGAACTGCCGCAGTGCATCATGCTACTGTTCAATAGATGTTACCATCCTCCTTGTTGTGCTTTCTCCAGCGTCGTGCAGCTTTTGTCATCCTGCCCTCAGAACCCCGCCCGCTTTGCATCCAGACATTTAGAACACATCTCTGCGTTGTGATCGGCCCGCCAGTTCTAGGGCCTGGGGCATTGATCGAGGCTAGACCACTTGCAGGGGAAAAGGATTTTGGCCGCTGGCGGGTGGGGCTAGTTTACTAAGCTAGCTGAATCTGTCTGTCCTAATCCGGGAAGTACTGTGGCTGAGGAGTGAAAAGGCTGTGTGAATACACAATCTCTACAGCAAATTAAAAAGTTTTCCAAACTAAAACATTTAAGTAACAAACACAAAAATGACACTAAATCACCAAATTCATGCAAAGGAAAAACTGCTGACTAGCTCTGATAAGGAAAGTGCTCAAGACCTCTAGGGGGAGACGATGATGTCACCTCACATGGGACCAAAACGTATTCATTACTATGATTCAATGAATGTTAAATGGCCTGTACTTATATAGCACTTTGGTCAAGTCAGGAGACTTTACACTATATTCACTCATCCATGCACACACTGATACCCTGAGGCTCATTGACAGAAGCAAGGCTGCCGTACACTGGCGCCACCGGCCCTCTGACCACCATCAATAAGCAATGCGGCTGAAGTGTCAGTGTCGCCTGCTGGGAGCGGAAAAATGTAGGGTAGGTCCGAATTGTTTTAGCAAAGAGGCAAACATTTTAACTCAACACCTGGCATTTCCTCCAGCATTAAAAAAAAATCTCTATTTATATACGTATCCTTTCCCAGCAATCTCAGGCAGGATCTAATAACCCTGGAATGCATTTGGTGTGTGGTCAGAAAATTTAGATTTCTCTTATTTCATATATATTCATTTATACTATTTACTTTCCATTACATTTTTACACTCAGTCAGTTTCTCCTGCAAGGCCACACAATTCTAACCTGACTCCACCAGATGGATTTGCTCCGCATATCCATCTGGAAACCTTCCGTTGAAGTAATTTTGGGAAGGGGCGAAAATACTGGTTAGCTGATTGGCCTATGTTGGTGATAGACGGGCCAAATAAACCAATCAGATCAACGAAGCATATGACGTACTATCAGCCAGGCTACTCTTGCCGAAACCAGTCGGGAGAAGAGCAAAAACATCTTTTCCTCTGAGAAAAGCCTCCAGAGCAGTGTTTTGCTCTTCTTTCAGTGAAGAAATACTCTGTAATTCCGATAAAACTTGCTCGATAGCCACGCTAACGCTAGTTTTATCGGCTGAAGCCGCCATGTTCTTTAGACTGAACTGTCGCACTTCTCGTTGCGTCACACCTCAACCCGCCTCAAAGCCAACGCTGATTGGACGTTCGTTTGGTGAACGGCTCCAAATTTTCTTTAACGGAGAGTCTCCAGACTGATTAGCGAGTGAAATCTTGAAAGCTCACGAGATCAGGATGGTCTCACGAGACTAACACAATTCCCCTGAGTGAGGGTGTTTGTAGACCAGATATATTTTCTTCCCATAACAAGATTCTTTCTCAAGGTTTATTCGTAACATGTTACCGTTTAACCAAAGTGTCTGTAATTTGTTTTGACTCTGTCTACTTTCCATTATTGTAAGTAAGGGGGAACGAACGCAACCCAGATCAGAACAGGGCTGATTACCGTGCAATAGTATGATAAACTATTCTCTCTTTGCAACGATAAAATAAAGTACCAACTCCATCGATCTCTGTTTATTTGACTGGGGTGAATAGTTGAATGTTTTTTCCCACGTCAGGCGATAGTCCTCGGTGATCATCTGATATCTCTGACTATTTAGCTATAGGTACCTGAGTTTACCTCTTATGAGATGTTTCATTAAACTGGAAATGATTATTAATTAGATATTTTGATCCATAATCTAGAACAGGAGCACCAATTTGCTTTATTTCTTCATGTTTAGATTCATGTCGGATGTTTTTTAAACTATTCTCCGTTTATTAAAAAAAGCGAAGCGTGGGTCTCTGCCTTATAAAGAATAATTCCTGGAATCACGTCCTGGTAATACAGTTCAGGACTTTTGGAGGTCCTGGGTTGGAATCCCAGCATGATTGTGGATTCTCTCAGGGTACTCCAGTTTCTTCTCACAGTCCCTAAGAATGACTGTTAGGTTAATTCTTTTCTCTACCAGTAATGAACTACCAAGCTTCTCAGAGAGCACTGATATATGTGTGTATTTGTGTGTATTTGTGTGTATTTGTAGGTCCAGCGCTGGCATCAGGGAAATGAGCATTTCGGTCGTGTCTGGCAGACGGGGGATGTGGTGGGATGCATGGTGGATCTGAACGAGCACACCATGATGTTCACTCTGAACGGAGAAGTCCTGCTGGATGATTCTGGATCTGAACTGGCTTTCAAAGACTTTGAGGTTTCTGAAGGTGAGTACAATAAATCTAACATTTGAATTAACACTGAACCAAAGTAATTTTCGTTGTATGGAAGGGTTCTGCTCACCTTTTGGTTCACATGGTGGTATGGACATAAATGCACTTCCAGTGGCTGGGTTTCTTATTAAACAAATCAGGGACAGAGCTGTCAAAGCAAAGCTGGCCTCCTAAAGGATGGCCTTTGGAGTTTTTGCTCCATTTTCTCATTTAGATTTTCAGATCATCAGAGGAATTCAAATGAAAACGAAAGTTCCCTTACTTCCAATAAAGCCGGCATACGCTGTACAACTTTTTGCCGTTTGCAGGCCGATTCTCTAGTCATGCAGGAATTTGTTGGATCAGGCCGAGTTTAGGCCTCATGGTGCGTCCTGCGTGGTGTAGTGTACAAGGAGTAACGAGGGCTGATCAGCCTCTAACGACCTCCTCCCCATCAGGAATCATAAGGTCGGGAGAAAATCAAACATGTTTGAAATTCAGTCGGCCATCGTAAGGTGGTCGTTGGCAAATCCTGCTGTTGAAGCTGATCTATGAGCCGATTTACCAGAACCTGGAGTTCTTCTCCTTCCAGATTGATGAATCTAAGCAGCGTAATCTCTCAGAGCTGAGTCCGATGTGTGTTTTTTGGACGTACAGTGTGAGCAGGTGGATTGCATAAGAGCATCGTTGCGGTACAGTGGAACACCATGCATATGTGACCTTTTAAACCCTGCGGTTTCATCGTACAGTTTGAGCTGCAGCTGCATGCAACCATTGAAAAATATTGTACAGTGTATGCGCGGACTTAGCCACCTGGCAATACTTCATCCTTCTTTTGGCAAAAACAGTGTTTCCTCCAGGAAAACTAAATCTGGCTTCTATCAATCTGCTCTTAATTGTGTCAGCAACCTCTCCTCCCTGCATGGACACTCAAGATTCTCAGTCATTGTCATTCCAAAAAAAAAAAAAAAAAAAAAAGAAAAACAATCCACTGGACTTTGTTCCCAGGTTTTAAGACGTTACCTGTCTGTCTCTTAACGACCCCCCTTTCAGAGATATAGACAGGTATGTAGCATTACAGGCTAACAAAAGGAACCAAATGACCCCCATTCCAAAGGGGTGGACCCGTTCATCCGTTTCTATTTGTATGTTTTCTAAACCAAAACAAAGCTTTGTTGGGCTGCTGGATAAAACCTGGAACTCAACGCTATTTCTGACATTTTAAATTGAAAAATCTTCCTGGATGGAAGAGAAACGTCTTCAAACTTGGAAACAAAGTCCAGTTGATTGTTTTTAACTTTTTGGAATGATCTGTAATTTACTTTCCACTCAGGAAAGGCTCTGCAAAGTTCTTTGTAAATCGGCTTCTTTCATGCAGTAAGGAAAAAGTGTTACTGAAATAGAAAATAGACATCATGGTAAGTGGAGTGGCTGTTTCTGTCCCAGGCTTTATCCCGGTCTGCAGTCTGGGAGTATGTCAGGTTGGGAGGATGAATTTCGGTAAAGACGTCAGCACTCTCAAGTACTTCACCATCTGCGGCCTGCAGGAAGGCTACGAACCATTTGCCGTCAACATGAACCGGGACGTCACCATGTGGCTCAGCAAGAGGCTACCCCAGTTTGTGCCTGTGCCACCAAACCACCAGCACATTGAGGTGAGCGCAGCTTTCACAGAGACAAACTCGTTTGACTCTGTCGTGCGAAAAAAATAAGTATTGAACTATGCCAGGGGTTGGCAACCCAAATTGCTGAAAGAGCCATATTGTATCAAAAAAAATGTTTTAAAATAAATCTGTCTGGAGTAGTAAAAATGTACAAGTCTTCTATCAGCCTCGTATGGAAACACGGGCTGTAAGTGTATTAGCATCCTATAAAAAAGGATTACATTAAATATATAATAAGCATTCATGATTAAATGTTTATCCTGGAGCAAATGTCACATAGCAGAATGAGGTGAGGGAGGAGCAGTGAACGCTCTCATCACGCGCAGCTTCACCGCCATTCATCACGCCGTTTAGGTTTTGTTGCATTGATGAAATGATAGAAACAGGATAAAGGAATCTTTCTATGGTGGACGTGTTTCTGTTGGAAGGAGCTGATGGAGTCATGAGGAACCGAGCAGGAAGTGACATCATCAGAGCAGAGCTCTCTAACCCTGAAATCCCACATCCTCCGTCACCAGCGTTCCTTGGTCTTATTTTTATTTTCAGGATTCTGGGAAAAAAATGGAAGAAAGTTCCCATCCCTGCATCAGAGCGCTACCTGTTGGATCTATGAACGGTTTTCTATGCTTGCAACCAAACCAGCAGCAGTAGTGGAGTTTGAAGATGCAATCTACTTCTTAAATCTATCTTTGCTCTCCTCTAATTTATCCAGAAGTTCTGCAATCAAACTTTTTTCTCTCCCTCCCAGCTTGATGGTGGGCTGCAGATTTAGCCTTCCCTGGAAATGCCTTTCCTAATCACTCTTTTTATTATTTGACAGCTTCTCATTGCAAAGCAAACATGCAGGCAATCCTTCCTGATTGGTAATAAAAGCAAATTATTCTCTCCATCCTTCTTTTAATCCTCTGTTCTCATCAGCTATCTTCCTTTCTTCCCTTTGGGATCCATGGTCTGAGACACACCCACCGCTTTGTTTACAGCAGCCACCTGCCTGGCGCGGCGCCGCGCTGGAACCTGCTGCAGGATGTGACCTCTGATCTCTATGGCTGTGATGCTAATTATATTGAAAGAAATGTTTACATTTAGTTATTCAATTTATTTATTATACAAATGTTTAAGGCACTGGAAACATGACAAATGTTTGTTTGACCTCCTGCACACCATATTAAAATAAACAAAAAATTGAAAAATTTTCATAAAAATAGAAGCACAGTGTGTCTCAAATGTGAAACAATACGAATACACATTGTGTATCTACAACGTAAGCCCAAGTGCTGTAAAAACAACAACATAAAACAATATAGAGGCAGACAGGCAGTTCTTCAAGAATGAATCCATGAAAGCTTAGCGGCGTGTCAGCGTTCACTGCCAGTCTAGGTGGCATGTGGGCAACGAAATGGAATAATGTAAACACCATGGTTCCATCAATCAACAGACCAAAATCAAGGAAACCAGCAGTGCTACTGATACTACTACTATTAAGAGTAGTAGTGGTGAAGTGGTGAATCGTAAAAGCTGTCACACAGCCGTCACAGTCTATTGAATGCCTTCCACTAGGTTACAAGCACAGTTTAAAGTGATATTTAACACTCTCCATCCAGAAAAAAGCTAAACATGATGAGCACGGACACACAGTTTTTAGTATACCTTCTTTTAGAGGAATATAACTATGAAAAGTCTGTCAACAAAGCACAATGAACCCCACCTTTTCATGCAAATGAGGCAAACCTACTTAAACAAAACCTGTAAGCCCAAGTCAACTTGTCACAGTGAGCAAAATTAAAAGCCAAATGACCAACCTTGACACTGTCTTGATCACTGGACTTTTTCCAAGTTGAAATTTATTCCAGATTCCACTTTAATCCAACGGTTTAAAACAGCCAGACAGCACTGCTAGCAAACAATGGATTCTGTTTGCATTGCTAATTTACATTAGAATGATTAGCCTTTAGATGCAAAACCCCATCATGCATTGCAATATCCATCCATCCATCCATTATCTGACACACTTGTCCCGAGTGGGGTCGCTAGGGGTGCTGGTGCCTATCTCCAGCTGTCATTGGATGAGAGGCGGGGTCCACCCTGAACAGGTCTCTAGTCCATCACAGGGCAACACAGAGACAAACACGACAAACAACCATTCATGCACACACTCACACCTAAGGAGAATCTAGAGAAGCCAATCAACCTAACAGTCATGTTTTTGGACTGTGGGAGGAAGCCGGAGTACCCGGAGAGAACCCACACATGCTCAGGGAGAACATGCAAACTCTGCAGAAAGATGCACTGCAACATATTTTTGCAAAATATTCCAACATAAGTTTGCCAAATATAAGAGGAACATCGTAGTTTGGTTTAAAGAAAGCATTTTAGTGTTATTATAATTTAGTTTGTTGCAAGAATTTTACAGTTTGAAGAAATAGAAAATGACACTATAAGCCAACCGTCACAAGGATATGCATGACAAGGAAGGGCTTTATATACTGCATGCATCATTTAGGGAGTTAACATTGGATTACTTCTGGATTACTACTTATTTTTAAAACTTTTACAGAATTGGAGTACTTCTTGAGCTCCTTGAGTTATTTACTGTCACAGGTAGGAGCTTCAGCCAGAGAGTTAGTGCTGGGGCCGGTATGATCTAAGGAGGGCCGGCCCACCGGGCAAATTAGCCTGACGTAGTCCTACTCAATTCTAGTCAGAATATGAGTCTGATACTGCTCCATAGAGCTGTGATTATGGGTGTGTTTTCGAACGAACCAGGAAAAAAAATGCCTCTGCACTCAATTGGATAGACCTACAACCAATAAGAGCAACGCAGTGCGTGACGTATGTTAAGCGAGGCATAGTTGTTGCCAACAAAAATCAAAGCGTGCAGTTGCACGCCTAGAATAAGAAGATGAGCGTGAACG